CGGCGGGATCGAAAGGGCGACCTTGGATTGCGGGCGCACAAGCGGGATGGAGCGGGCGCGCAAGCCGGTCGGCGTTGGACTACGGCCTCGGCGGGATCGAGCGAACGTGGGCATGCAAGCCGGGGGCGTTGGACCGCGGCCTGGGGGGGCGCGGATCGAGCGAGTGCGGGAACGCAAGCCTGGCGGATCAGCGGACCAGCGGCAAGAAGGCACCCGGCGAGGAACTCGGCGGCAGGTGGAAGGCCCGGCGAGGTGCTCGGCGACGGGCAGTTAGTGTTAGAGATTTATGCATTTTCATTTTCAGTTTAATTCAGAAATATAATATCAACATGTTTGTGACAGCATATATGTACATGTGTAAATTTCTTATGAACGCTACAGCATGCATAGATGACATACTGATTGATACAGTAAGAATATAAAATACAGTAATCACAGAGATTAGACTGTACCCAGCAGAGGGTCTCATGCCGAGGGCATCGGAGGCTCCATTCACACTAGTCGACATAGTGCGTTGCTCGAAGTCGCAAACCACAGTCGATGCAGGAAGTTGTTCGTAGTGCAGTCCCACGAACGGATCACCAGGAAGAAGACGCCTTGACGTTACAGGAAGAAGACGAATCCAAGAGCGATCTCTAGCAGGAAGAAGATGGACGAGCAGTCGCGGATCGCTCCCCAAAAATCTAATCGCCGCTCACCCCGTGTAGGATTCTCAGGCGAACGAGGGTTCAGGAGACACATGCTCTCCCGTTACTCCGTGCGCGCAGAGGTACGGGACGGGGAAGCCAGAAAGCTGTTGATCTGTGGTTCTCTCGGGAACTGTTTCGGAAGGTCGGGTCTGGACTGACGGAGGACGGGATATATGACTGCGATAGGGGAAGGAGACGAAGGCAGCAGAGAATCCCAGGAGATGGGAAGCGGAAGCGGAAGGGACGGTAACTGACGCAGTCAGTTCGGCTCCACTATCAAGGAGCGAAACTCCCGTGATAATGTGGATTTAAGTGGTAAAAGACTGGCCACGCCCGCCTGCTCGCTCGTGGCCCGCCTGCCTAGCCACGCCCACAGCCTCGGCCCCGTCCCGGCCCGGCCGCCTTTATCCTTTTCTCAGCTTCTCAATTTAGATGAATAATTTCCAACCATATAAGCTGAGTCAGCGTTCAGTCAAAATCCAGTATGATATTAAGCCATACAACACTTAATGTTATGTACCATAGAGTTTTATTTGATTTATTAAATATTATATGGACCAAGCCCATATTATATCAACAATCCCCACCAAACTCTAGGGTTTGTAACAAAGTAGTCTTAGAACCACATTTCTTTTATATACCAGTGTTTCGATGGAGACTGTTAAGTTGAACATCTATTTAGAACAATAGTTTCACTCAGTCACAACTGAACAATGGACTAAGCCTTGAATTGACAGTTTTATGTGAGGTGAATGTTACTAAAGTCCTTAGCTGATACTGGGCAGCAAAAGGTATTCCCTCTATTTGAAGCATATAAGTCATACTTCAGTGCCTTTCATGAGTATTTAGAGATCACCTAAATCTCATAGACTGTGACCAGCAGTCTTGACTCATATAGGTGTGTTCCTCAAAAGATGTTTTGTAGGACAACATCTTTGCTTTGACAAGCCACTTGGAACACATTAAGGCAAAAGCCAGCCAGCCTTACAGAAAGGAAAGATATGCATCAGAAATGAGTCTTACTAAGGATATTTCCTCACAATTTACTACTAGCTTGTTTCACCGTCCTACTTCACGGGATCTCCGATCACATAGAACAGGTTACCACTATAGTAAATTTCAAGGGGGTCTCAAACCCATCTCTCTCGATGCATTTTCTATCATATTGCGTGAGACCCTTAGTGAACTGATATGCTAGATTGTTAGACATATGAACATAGTCCAACGCTATTACTCCGGAGTTTCTCAATTTTCTGACAGATTTTAGTCGTCTCTTAACAAGCCTTGTGGACTTCATGTTGTCCTTAGAACTGTTAACCTTTGTAATCACAGTCTGGTTATCGCAGTTCATAGAAATAGCCGGTATGGGTTTTTCAACAACCGGTAAATCCATAAGGAGATCACGAAGCCACTCAGCCTCAGATCCAGCAGTGTCTAATGCAGTGAGTTTTGCTTCCATTGTAGACTTCGTTAAGATAGTCTGCTTGCAAGACTTCTAGGAAACAGCGCCACCTCCAAGCGAAAACACATATCCACTTGTGGCATAAAGCTCATCAGCATCAGAAATCCAGTTGGCATCACAATAGCCTTCCAGCACTTTTGGATGTTCGGTATAACAAATACCATAGCTCATGGTCCCTTTTAGGTAGCGCATTACTCTCTCAAGAGCACGCCACTGATCATCTTCCGGGTTTGACACAAACCGGCTCAGGTTGCACACAGCAAATGAGATGCTAGGCCTTGTTGCACTAGCAAGATACATGAGCGAACCAATGATCTGGGAATATCTCAACTGATCCCTTTCTATTCTTTGATTTTTCCTCAATAGCACACTAGGGTCATAAGGTGTAGGAGCAGGTGTACAGTCACTAAACCCAAAGCGACTCAGCACATTTTTCACATAGTGGGATTGTAACAGAGTTACTCCACCATCACCTTCTCTCAGAAGCTTGATATTAAGAATAACATCAGCCTCTCCCAAATCTTTCATCTCAAAATTTTTAGATAAAAATCCCTTCACCTCTTCGATCACTTTGAGGCTGGATCCAAAGATCAGTATGTCATCAACATATAAGCACAAAATGACTCCTTCATCCCCACCATACCGATAGTACACATATTTGTCAGCTTCATTCACAACAAAGCCAGCAGATGTTAAAGTTCTGTCGAACTTCTCATGCCACTGCTTATGAGCTTGTTTTAGGCCGTACTATGACTTTAATAATTTACACACCTTGCCTTGTTGACCATTTGCTACAAACCCATCAGGCTGATCCATATAGATCTCCTCCTCCAACTCTCTGTTTAGGAAAGCTGTCTTAACGTCCATTTGATGAACGATAAGACCATAAGAGGCTGCCAGGGAAAACAAAATTCAATTTGTGGTCAGTCGGGCAACCGGTGAATAAGTATCAAAGAAATCCTCACCTTTCTTTTATGTATAACCCTTGGTCACAAGCCTTGCCTTGTACCTCTCAATAGTACCATCAGGCCTAAGCTTTTTCTTGAACACCCATTTGCACCCTATAGGCTTGCACCCATAGGAACGATCAATAATTTCCCAAGTTCCATTAGACATAACAGAATCCATCTCACTCCGTACTGCTTCCTTCCATAAGTCAGCATCAGGAGAGGAATATGGCTCTTCAATGGTTGTTGGTGTATCATCCACAAGATACACAATATAGTCATCACCAAAAGACTTTACAATCCTCTGTCTCTTGCTTTTCCTGGTGACTATAGTGTCATCCTCCTCAGGATTTTTCACATAGGGTTCCTCAATTTGTTCTATCGGAATAAAGTTTTCATGCTCATGGGGAATTATAAATTTATGACCAGTTGTGCTAGGTGTATTTTTCATGGGAAACTCATTCTTAAAAAATGTAGCGTCTCTAGATACCATGATTGTATCAATAGCCATCTCAGGAACACTAGAGTTTATAATTAAAAATCTATAACCCACGCTGTGAATAGCATAACCAAGAAAGACACCATCAACAGTCTTTGGTCCAAGCTTTCGCTTTTTGTTTATTGGCATATTCACCTTTGCCAAACAACCCCAAGTTCGCAGGTAAGAGAGATTTAATCTCTTCTTCTCCCATTCCTCGAATGGTGTAATTTTTTTGTTCTTTGTGGGCACTCTATTCAGGACATGACATGCTGTCAAAATAGACTCACCCCACCATTACTTAGATAGTCCCGCAGTCTCCAACATGGTATTAACCAAATCAGTTAGAGTGCGGTTCTTTCTCTCTGCAATCCTATTGGACTGTGATGAGTATGGTGGCGTCCTCTCATGAATAATTTCATGCACCGCGCAAAACTCAGAAAATTCATTTAAGAAATATTCTCCCCCGCGATCGGACCGCAAACGCTTGATTTTCTTCTCAAGTTGATTTTCTACCTCGGCTTTGTAGACCTTAAAATAATGCAGCGCTTCATCTTTTATTTTTAATAAATACACGTAGCAAAATCTATTGCAATCATCTATAAATATCATGAAGTATCGTCTACCGCCTTTAGTCAATTCGCCATTCATTTCGCATAAATCAGAATGAACGAGTTCTAACGGTGCCAAGTTCCTCGCCTCAGTAGCCTTATGAGGCTTGTGTGGTTGCTTCGATTGCACACACACCTGGCACTTAGAATCTTTGACTAAGTTAAATTTCGGGATTAAATTCAGATTTGCAAGCCGCGTGAGATAGCCAAAATTAATGTGACAAAGTCGTGAATGCTATATATTCGACTCAGGTGAAAGACAAACTGAAAGAACAAAGGGTAAAGAATTATCATACCCAGATGTTCCTCCTCCAGTCTCGCTAATGACCACATTTGCTGATTTCTTTTCTTACTTATATTTAAGGTCTGGGCACGCACTTGCCCAATGCTCATCACTCCAGCAAACAAAGCATCCTCCACCTTTCTTGTTGTTTTTTCTTCTTAAAGGCGTATGCGATGCTGCTTAGGCTTTGCATTGTTGTTC